CTCTTGCGTTTATCAGGCATACATTTCTTTTCCCTCTGATTTTATATCCATATTTAAATCATGCTTGGGGAAGTCATTTATTGGATCCCCTCAGGCTCATGGTAGAGAGTATATGAGATCCCTGATAATCTTAATATATTTGTATTAAAAATTAATAAGCGGGCTGTTGTTTGCAATGTTAAATCATGATTTGATTTTTTTTTTATGATTTGATTTCACGTATTTAATATAAGACCACAATTTTAAAATTACTTAAAAAGATGTGATAAGACTGCAATCAGTTCTGGGACCCTGTCTTTATTCTGGAATGAACCACGCCTGTCACATGGCAGACAGTCAGTGCCACCATCTCTCGTGTCACATTTAGAGTCCATACCCGATGTAGCAGCCCCTTTGGAGGCTTCAAATGAGTCCTCTGCTGAAGATTATGTGGAGGCTCTTTTTAAATGCTGCTATTAAAAAAATCAAATGTAATGGGAAGAGATAAGCTTTTCCCAGTGCGAGCCGGCTCCAAGTTTATATTTCCTTAATCTGTTTTATATGCTCCTGCAGGAAATGAAACCAAAATTGTCCTTTCTGACATGTGCGTGTGGCGGGTGGGAGGGGCTGAGCGAAGGGAGACGCAGAGCTATAGGAAACAATTGCTCTGGTTTGTCAGGGATTTACTGTCTGTATGGAGGAAAAAGCCCTCTTCTTCCCACTGGGCTGAAGGGTTGCAGCCTCCATGGAGAGCTGTGCCTACAGCCACGGGGTGCTCTCGCCCTGCATCACTGAGAACTGTTGCCCCAGCTCACCTGTCCGCCGGTTGACACCCAAGACAAGGACCAGATATCCTGCATCAGCAGGTCTGCGTTTCCACTTACCTCCTGTCCCCCCGGAGAGACACATCCTTCGCACACATACGGAAGACGGTCACTGCCAGGCTTTGCACATTACTGAATCCTACTTCTTTCTTTCCTTTCTCTCCCGTTCTCTTCTGCTCCCCCATCACTCATAAAATGATCATGTCTGCTTGTTAAGTGTATCTATATTTAGTTTCACCTTCTAGATGAATGATGTCGATGTTTTTTCAGTTTCTTCAAATTGGTCCTCTGCCCTAGCTCTACCCTCTGGGTCTTCTCTGCTTCTAGCCACCCCCATGGATAAAATCTTCTAATCTTAGTGTCTCAAATCTTATACATAATGCTCAGGGGTCACCCCCTGCCCTCGCCTTTGCTTCCAAGGCTGTGTTCACCACCAAATAAGAGAACACAGAGCACCATCAAGAGCATCTTGACTGGGAAGATCCTGCGATCCCTCTGGGTGTCTCAGAAGCCACGTCTAGGTATAGGGGAGACTCGGGTCCCTCCCCTATAGGAGGCTGCACAGTGCTGTCATGGAGGGAACCCCGGGTTGAGTCCTGAAGAGTCAGCGCTCACCCTCTTCCCACCTCTCAGGCCGTACCATGAGGACTCTGGACCCTATGGTCCTCATGGCCCCTCCGTAAGGAAGCAGGCATGGAAGTGTGGGAGTGAGGCCTGGGGACAGCCACACAGCTTCCCCTTTCTGCCTGTGACTCTGTAATTCCAGAAGGTTCTGTAATTCCCAGAAGCCTCCTACAGAGGCTCAGGCTCTTATCCTGCTGTAGCACAAGCACTAAGATTCTAGATCAGCCACAATTAACTTCAGCTCTTGAGGAGCAGACCTGATTTCTAAAGCTGGAAGAAAGTGAAACTTACAACTGGAAGAAAGGCCGAAAGGAAGGTTTAAACACATGCAAATCCACCTTACCTTGTTGGAGTGCTAGGAAGATGACCTTTGTCATTTAGCCTCTGAGTCAAATGTCCAGAATATCCTTGAGGTGAGGAACCTGGAGAAATATGGCCAGGAGGGCACAAAAAGCTAGTCGGGGCATCCTCCTGAGCAGCAAGGCCAGGCCCCAATCCAGCAGAGGGTTTCCATGAGGGACAGGGATGGAGGTGAGCTCTCCCAGGTCAGGCCTGACCTTTTTCTGGACTCCCTATTAGTGGGGTCCCATGGAGGGTTATTTCCCTTTATGCAAAGACGTTTTTAGGCAGTGCTTCTGGCCCATTCATCTTCCTCTGCCGGATCCCAGAGACATCTGACATCTGCTGCTGAGTAGAAGGGAAGAGAACATCCAAGAGAGCTTTCAAGTAGGAGGATTTCCTGTGAAGGACTTGAAGCAGCTGTCTACTCTCACGGCCGTCCTGCTTTCGAGCAGCTCTCCGCCTCAGACCTTCATGTGTCCGGACCGACTGATGACCCAGAGTTGTGCCCCGGGGGGGTGGGGGGAGGGGATGAAACAGGACACATTTGTTCCCAGATTTGTTTTTGATCTCCTGTCGGGAGGGATCTCATGGAGCCTGGCTGCCGCCGGCAAGGTGATAGACAGCGCCGCCCCCCCCCCCCATGTGCTTGTGGACACCGTACACCCATGGGGCCAACCCACTCAAGTTCATGAGAACCTTCAGAGTTTGCCCACTGGGATGTCACCAGGGGACGGGCCTGCCTGTCTGCAGGTCACAGCTGGACTCCGTGCATGCTGCACTCTTTCAGGCTGGAGACCAGAGCCTGAGCGGGCAGGTCTTCCTCTTCCTTTCCCTTCCCTACATCCAGACCCCTCTGCCTGCCTGTTTGCCCTCCTTCCAGACTACAGAGGACTTTTTAAAGAGGCAGGGAAGAGGCCAGGAACACAGGCAAGGAAAACAGTCCTGGGTCTGACCACTGAGCTGCCCTGGGTTTCCTCCCCACAGAATGAAGGGCTCTGAGGATGTGACCATATTGCTCCCCAGCTCCATAGTCTCTGGCTGCAAAGCTCTTCCTACCCAGGAGTCCCTAGGAATTTAGTTTAAGCAAATATTCCACAAAGGCAAAAAATGTCATAAGTTGGAAGAGCTACATCATGTCATTTTTTTGTTAAAAATCAGAAGTGATCTACATTTCTGAAAGTAGCTTAGTGAATGAATGAGGGTCTGTAAACATGATGGAATTAATTGTACACAACCATTAAAGTGGTAGTTATGCTGGCTATAAATTAACATTGAATAATAAATAGCTGCTCTTGTTTGTCGAGAGCTAAAGTATCAGTCATTCTCAGCCCCTAGGGCACGTTTCATGAATCACACGTGTGAGGTCTGGGCGTTGGTGTCTCTTTTGAGGCTCCCTGGTTGATAATACTGTGCAGCCAAGGCCGAGAGCCTGCATGCCAGGAACTTATCTGGGTGGGTGCTTTATGACCGCCAAGTGATGTCTTCCCTCATCTCCTGAAGGCACCTGCACATTCATTGCTGTGGCTCTGTCCTCCCTTCCCGCTAGCCCCCTAGTGGGCGATGCAGGATGATACTGTTTGTTTCTGATTTATTGACTGCAAAAATATCATTGCTCTGTAACAAGCCTTCCCAAAACTTAGCAGAGTAAAACAACTGCCACTTTATTATGCCCACAGATCCTTTGGGTCTGGAATTCAAACAGATCACAATAGGAATGGCTTGCCTCTTTGCCACAGTGTCAGGAGTTTCAGCTGGGAAGACTGGACTCTGGCTCCCTTCTGGCTAGCAGCTGGAGTCATCTAGATGCCCTGTTTTTTTGTTTTGTTTTGTTTTGTTTTGTTTTAAGATTTTATTTTTAAGTTATCTCTACACCCAACATGGGGCTCAAACTCACGATCCTGAGACCAACAGTCGCATGCTCTTCTGACTGAGCCGGCTGGCCAGGGGCCCCCAGATGCTTCTTTACACACATCTCTGGTGGGTAGGCCAGGATGACTTGGAAGATGGACTCAGTGAGGACTGTCCACCAGAGCCCCACACATGGCCTCTCCCTGGGCTTGGGCTTCTCACAGCACGGAGACTCACGGCTCCAGGAGCAAACATGCTCGTGAACAAGGCCTTTTTAAAATAGCGTTGGAAGTCAATAGCATTCCTTATATTGTTCTCTTATTATTGAAGTGGTCACAGGCCCACCCAGATTTCAAGAATATTATGGAGGCAGAACTGATAAGACATAGTGATGGACGACTAAACATGGAGAGTGAAGGAAGCGATTGTCAAAATGCTGATGCTTAATGTCCTAGGACATGAAAAGAATACACAAAAATATACACATCAAAATCACAGTGCAAAAAGATGAGAAGTAAATGCATCATGCAAAAATGAAATATTATTTTAAGTCTGGTGGCAGCATGATATTTCATCTTTAATATTACTTAATCATTCTTAGTAGCTCTTCTTAATCCTAAGTACCCACTGAACCTCTTCATTGACAACCCCTGAAGATCATTGTTGGAAACAACACACCAGCGGGATTCGAGTCATGAGCACACTCTCCAAACATCACATTAAAAAAAACATAACATTCACCCTGCTCCTTACTGTGTGGCTTGGGGACCCACAGTGCTGCTCTCACTAGGGACTGTGGAGTTCACCGCACTAGGATCACGGGACAAAGATGAGTGGGCAGGGGCCCACCTACTTTGGGATCAAGATGTTGCCGGGGAGACTGGGGAGCACCGCCCCCAGACCCTGAGACCTCCACCCAGCCCATCCCCAGGGTGTTGCCAAAGGCTCTTGGTCTCACTGCAAGAAAGAATTCAAGGACAGACCAGACAATGGTTGAGTGGTGCAAGTAGGTAAGTTTATTAAAGTGAGCATACACTCGCGAGATGTGAGCTCGGGCCAGCTCAAGGGAGAGCTGCTTGCCTTGGGGTTTGGGTCTCTATCTTATTGACAGTTGTTAACTCAGGGAGTGGCTTTCTTGGGAGCAGTGTTTCTTGACTTTTCTCCATTACTAGGTCAGGGTTTCCAGCCTTCTTTGTCTTGGGCCTGTATGCTTTGATCCAGCTTCTTGTGGCTCTGTTTTGGACTGTTGCCAGGATAGGTCTCTAACCACCCCCCTCCCCCATAGCTGCCCATGACTCCCCCTTTACGGGCCTCCAGGCATCCTGTTAAAACCTAACTAACTGCCTACTCTAACATAATCCATCTTCTTTCTTTTTCCTTTAGGCTTTTGATATTATGAGAGTGACCCACGGCAGAGAGCACAGCCTGATTGAAGATTTGATCCTACTTTTAGAAGAATGTGACGCCAACATAAGAGCATCCTAAGGGGTGCAGTCAGAGGGAAGGACAGCTTCTACCCTTATTGAATGTCATATAGAGGTCACACATTCTACACTGTTGTGCGAGCCTCCCTACTGGGAATGTGATTCTCTGTTCATGTAGGTAAACAAAGGCAGACATACAGTGTGCCAACCACAAGAATCATTCGTTGTAGAGAAGCACAATTATAAGAAATATACAAAATTTGGTTGAAAATGCCATCTGGTAATCGTTTGCTTCCTCATTGGTTGACTTCAGTGTTTAAGATCTCAACATTCTCAACATGAAGGATGGAAAGTTCTATTAAAAGCATGGTAGAATAAGTTGTAACTGTCTCCTTGGCTATCTGTGGGGATAATTGGATTAAAAATCAATGTTTTCACAAGCAAAAGCTTATTGTCTATTTTGTCAAGAAAGCAGTTTCAGATGTTTTCTTTACTAGTTGTGGTGACATGTACATCCCTTATTTACTCCCAAATACATCTCTAATACAAAAAGTGGTGTCCTGAATCCTAGAAAGAAGTCATTTTAGGTGTTACTAGAAAAGCATAGGAAGTCTTAATGGAAAAGAAAAAATGTTTTTTCAAACGTCTTATGACTCTTCTGTGCATTTTGTACCATTTTGTACATGTCATGCTTTTTCTTTCCTTGGAGTTTTTTTCCGTAATTCCCTATATCTGTGGTTTGACCAGGTGACGTGCACACCCTGAAGCTCCATTATCCTGCATCCCAGCTCAAAACGGATATTTTTGTTTCTTCTTCCTCTCTATCTACCCGCTTTTCCACCTTTCTGCGTTATTCAAATTCAGAGAAATTTTTCCTCTGGGGGAAGAAAAAGGAGGTGATTTCTTCTATGGCTCCGTGACCCTGTGAGCAGTTTCGTCCCTCCTGCTTAGATGGGCTCAGGCAGTAATTACGGTAATGAGGGAGGCTCCAGTCACCCCCACCTTATTTTACAAGCAAGGAAAGGAGGTACTTACTGGGGGTGGTGTCCTATTCCCCAGGCCCCGGGATCCGCCCCGCCCTCACAGAAGGAGCCCCGTGGCCACGTGGGGCGCAGGCCACTGTCAGAATGACACACGGGCACCTGCTCAAGCTGGAAGGAACCAGCCTCGCTTGGCGGCAGAGAAGGCTGACCGCCGGAAGCTGGAGTCGATGTGCCAAACGCCTGGCGATCACTTTCATCCTGGAAATGTGCACAGTGTCCGGCACGCGGGTGCATTCTGCAGGCTTTCTGTCGGCTTCTGCTGGCCCAGGCGTGGCTGACCGTGGCTGGGTATGCTCATTGCCTGCAGTTGCTGGTGGGTCAGCTGGGGAAAGGAGGGTGACAGGGTCATGCAGCTCACTGGGTTGGCCCAGTCTCGTTCATGTGGCAGCAGGGTTCCAGGAAGAGGAAGTAGGCAGGCCTCAGTACGCAAGCGCTTCCTGTGTCGGCTGGCGTTGCATTGCCTATATCCCACGGGACCAAGCCAGGCACAAGGCCAGCCCAGAATGGAGGGTGGGTAGAGCCGCCTCGCAGTCATCCTATTGCAGGGCATGGGGTTGTGGAGAGGAAGATAGTGTGATCATCAAGGCGATCCACATAGCAGTCCCGTGTTGGTGTTCCAGAACATTCAGTGAATTGGATGAAATTCATAGACCTTCTTTCTAGAAAACCATATCCACCCCAACAATTTGCTCTTAGGATCAGGGACCCTTGAACTCGCCGTTGTCTGTCAGTGGACTCCCCTTCGTCTAATGAGAAATAGACTTGCTACCTTTCAGAATCACTTACGGGAATTACACATTTTAAATTCATTAGGGAAAGAGAAAAACCATATCAGGAGGCAGGGGTAGTCCCTCACAGGCCAAATGAGCAGGGCTCACTGCTAGAACCCTGTGTTGGCCAATTTTCAGAGTGAGATTTATCAGCCAATGATGATCCTGGATAAAGTGATTTGCCCTTCCGCCTCCTAGAGAAGGCGTGACAGGCTTTTAAATCCTCCCTGCTCCCTTCCCGTTGTGTGGGAGAAGGTTCCCTTAGGAGCGAGGGGCTCAGCTTGCACGGGCTTCTAATAGAAAGCAAACGTTCAAGCAATGGTAAACATTGACCCAGCAACTTTACCACAAAATAATTTGGGGCAAGGGGGGAGGGGACGGGGAGCGTGGTGTTAAATCCGTGTCACCCGCGGCTGACGACTTACAGCCGCCCCAGCCACCATGACTGTGATTTCATTAATCCAGTCATCGTAGCGGCAGGCTTTTTGCACATCAGTAACTTGACGCCATTAGTTGCTCCTCTGGGATGAGAACACATTTAAGCTGATAATGAACACACTGGGCATAATTTATAGCCAGGCCGCCTGAATGCCAAGCGTGCAGGGAGGAAGGCTGCCTGGGAAGCCAGCTCGCTACGGGGGCTCAGGGCCGGCGCCGTCCAGCCAGGCCAGAATCCTGGGCAGAGAGGGTGGCCGGCGCCCCACGAGGCCACATGGCCACAGACCAGAGAGCGCCCCTGTCCAGCTTCACCTGCAGGGTGACAGAGAAAGGCATCCGTGGGAGCCCGCCCCGGAGTCAGGTCTTGAGAATTCTCTTCTGGCCCAGTTAGGAGTTGATGTCACGCTCAGTCAGAGGAGCCCACGGGGACGCCCCAGGGAGAAGATTCTGGGCATTATCTTTGGAGCATCATAAAATCCTCTGACAAGCAATCATCGTCAGAGGCTTCAGGAACACACTGGAGCCCTCCTTTTACCTGAGGTCTGTAAGAGATTGGACTGGTGGAGAAGGGCCAGCAACACCACCACCCCCCGCGTGGGACGTTCCCTTACCCTTTTAAGGTTTGGATGCGTCAAAATGCTAAGGTCTCACAATCAACCTAGTCAAAGCCAATTCAGAACAGGGGAGAGCAGTTCTCTGCCCACCATATTCAGCTCCACGCTACCATCATCCTCCCGGCTCTTCAGCACAGAAACTCAGTCACCGACTCTCTCCTCTGACGAAGGAATAAGTTCTGTCTATCCATCCTCCGAAGTGCTTTCTTTCATTTCAGCCATTTTTATTCTTACCTATTCCCAGGCTCTTTCAGGCCCCGACTCGTCGTTCCTCAGCCCCCTGCAAAGACCTCCTCCATCTCACCCCTCCTTTCTCTGTCCTCCATCAGAGCTGCCAGAGGCACCTTCCAGAAATACCCGTTTCTTCATCTCTTATAACCCCCTCTGCTCAAAAGCTTGCAGTGGCTCCCCATTGCCACTAGACTCAGTCAAGTCTTCAAACTGGCATTCGTGGTCCCAGACCACTGATACATGGCCCAAAACCCCTGAATCTTAAACTTCCTGGTCCCCCCATGCACCTGCCACTCTAGATGGATCCGTACCTGCCCCTGACCCCCCACCCCGCTTCAGTCTCCTGAATCTGTCCTCTTCTTGGACGGGTCCTTGTCTGTTCATACTGACCTAATCCTCTTTCTTCTCCATCTGTCTCTTACCAGTTCTCAAAGACCTAGCCTGAGCCTCCATCCTCCTGTTTCTTTCCTTCTTTTTAATTGAAATACGGTCTAGTCTGTAACCATAATTCTTCTATGTGATGCTCAAGTCCTATCAGCTTTGGCTATTGGGATTTTCTTCAGATTAAATGTCTTGTGTGTTCCTATCATTTTGGAAACACTTTTTTACTCCGAGGTACAGCGAGATGTTTCAGGCTCACTTTATACTTTCTCACTCTAGACTTGGAACTAGCTATTCTTTAAGGAACCCTGGTCTTTTTAGTAAGGAATGGTATTCAGGAGCCCTAATCCCTGCACTATGTTTGTTCATTGCTACTACAGTGACGCTTCTTTCTAGACCTTTTAAAAACCATGAGTTCACACAACCTATCAATTAAAATCCAACGCCTGGGTGGTTCTTCATTTCCCTCCTTCATATTTGCACCTCTCTCATACACACAAAATAGTTTTGAAATTACTACACTACAACCACTACCAACAGCAAACCTATGAAGTAAAATTTTTAAAGTTTTTTCTAAGGTTTTATGCCCTTAGGCAAAAAATTGCATTGTCACAACACTACGGTTAAAAATTTAAAAGTTTAATTATTCTTTTCAGTGTGGTTATGTCATCAATTTGATATCCAATTAGATTTTTTCTATTCAACTTTAAGGATTCCCCCATTACTGCTTTATGTTGGTATGTAAAAATCAATATAAACACGTAATATATATTAACATAAATTTTTCAATTACAAATAACGGCATAGAGGTGTATCTTTAGGGTAATTTCCCAGAATGGAATTACTGAGTCAAGGGTAAATGCATATGTAATTTTATTAGGTATTGTCAGATTTACCTTGAGAGGGACTGCATGACGATACCTGCTTCCCCTCAGTCTTGCCACCAAGGTGGGTTTTTCAGCTTTTGAATTTTTTGTTAAGCTGATGCGTATCTCAGTGTACTTTTAATTTTCTTATTGGTGAAGTTCTATGTCTTCAAACATTTAAAAGCTTTTTGTCTAATTTTTTTTGTGAACTATATTTACAGGTCTTTGTCATTTTTCTATCCAATTTTTTGGTCTTTTTTTCCTTATCTTCAGTTGTCTCTATATTAGGAAGATTTCCCCTTTATTTGTAACATTTAATCTCTCAGTTTGTCACTCGTTTTTTGACTTTGCTTTAATATTTTGCCCTGAGTTCCTTTGAATAGCATTTTCCAAAAACACTCCATAAGAAATCTACTCCAGGATAAAGCAGGGTTCTATTGTAAAGTTACAATAGTACCACCAACCTTCCCAGATGGTCCTTGATTCTTTTTTTGTTATTATTTATTTAAATTCAGTTAGCCAACATATAGTACATCATTAGTTTCTGAGGTAGTGTTCAATGATTCCTTAGTTGTGTATAACATCACATGATGTGATGAGCACTGGATGGTCCTTGATTCTTAGCTCTTCCTGAGTTGAGTGGATATTTTGATTGATTGATTGATTTTAAAATTTTATTTATTTATTTGACAGAGAGAGTGAGAGAGGGAACACAAGCAGGGGGAGAGGGAGAGGGAGAAGCAGGCTTCCTGCGGAGCAGGGAGCCCGATGCAGGGCTTGATCCCAGGACCCTGGGATCATGACCTGAGCCGAAGGCAGACGCTTAACCAACTGAGCCACCCAGGTGCCCCGAGCGGATATTTAAAAAAAACATTTTTCTACTGCCCATTCTATGATCTTCCTATCTTCAGCCAGCACCTGCCTACTCGAGGTTCTTTACCTGGTCGAACGATTCAGTTTACCATCCCTGAGCTGTCTGGATAGTTGGTGGTC